TGGAAAGTTCACAGCCAGGCTGAGAAGCAGCCAATGGAACATAGTTTTCAATTGTAATCTAAAGAACATCTACATTAGAACCTCCTGGATTTCTTAAAACAAAGCTATCTGGAACCCATCATGTACTAGATCATAATTTCCAGGGGTTAGGAGCTGGGGATCTTCATTTTTAACACTTACAGGTGATTCTGTTGCAACCAAAATTTGAGAAATTTTCCCCTAAAGTAGTACTTAAAAGTAGATGGTAGAAGTGGAGGTGAATATAAAACAGGAAAAGTAAGCTGAAGTTTCAAGATAAAGAGCTTATGTCATGTATTGAGGGCTGGTCTCTCGGGTTTTCTATTGATTGACTGATTGATTGATTTTAAAGATTTTATTTATTTATACAAGCACTGGGGTACAGGCCAGAGGTGCGGGAGGGTGAGGGAATTCACCAGAGACAGAGCAGGGAGCAGAACAGGCAGTAGGACCAAAGTACACTGCTGAGCGGAGCAGCAGACAAGGCAGGAGAGGTCTGCTGCGCCATGTGGGTCAGCTCCCTGGCCAGGGATTAAACTGGAGCTGCAGTGACTGCAGATTGCTTCATAGTGCTGAGTCTTAACCCCTTGCTCCACCAGGGAGGCCCCCTCTGGGGTTTTCTTTTATATGCAATGCTGCTCTTTACAATCACATTATGTGGTAGGAATTATTATTTCTATGATTATATATGTTAATATGTAAGAATAGATGAAGACTCAGAAGGTTAAAAAGGTTTCCAAAGCTCATAAATGGTGGACCTATGATTTAATTCCAAATATGGCTGAACCCAGTGGCCAAGCTCTTGGCCATTTAACTGCATTTGGCCACTTTCTTTCATATATTTGTATTGACTCAGCTCCTCTTTCTTCATACAAACAAGGAGTTTCAGTTGGATGCAATGATGGATAAAATTGGACATCACTTTCAAATCCCCATTCTACCTGGGGAACAAGGCCATCCGGAGTCCTTTTGGGGACCCAATAATGAGTCCACTCCTGTGCTCCAGACTCCTGACCATAACTGACATGATAAGGATTTGATTTTGATTCTTTTTAGCACTCACTCAATCTCTGGTACCGTCTTCGTTGGTTTCATTATCCGAGCATTTGATGATCTCTGTAAAAATTTGTCTCTGTTGGGAGAAGGGTGACAGGGAATTTGACATGTTAGCATCTCCTCATTGTTTATTTGTTATGAAATTGTAAATAATTATGAAGTTGAATAATTATGAAATAATTGAATAATTATGAAAACAAACATTTCTCACTTAGGAAAGGACTATGACTTTTCACAATTATGTTACCTCCTATGTTTACATTCTAAATTTTCTATTGTCATTCTGGTTAAACAGGAACCAGGGTTTATTTTTTAGTATCCCATGATTTTATCTTAATCAAGTGTTTGAATCTTGACAAACTGAATCTTAATGATATCTTTTGCACCTAAAACTCTTTAAGATTTTCAAGAAGACCCCTGAAAATCATCAAGATGTGTTCTTTCATCTTTATGAAAAATAAAGAATGAGAGAATAATTAGGTATACTTGATTACTATTGATGAGTTATCACATTGGAAGAGATGCTTATCTTTCTGTAGGGAAAATGTATCTGAATAAAATATTACAAATATTTGAGAAATTGTGTGCTGCCTGGAAGTTCCTAGAGAATTATCAGTGCCATCTCTGCCTGTGATGTGCTTCTACTTACCAGAGTCTTTGTGCTGTTTTACCCTATGTGTTTTACCCTATGTTATACACATAGGTTAAAGCTCATAATTTTTTAAATATTAACTTGGCCACAAATTTACTTTTTTATTTTTTTAAAGATTTATTTATTCATGCATACAAGAACTGGGGGAAGGTCAGAGGTGCAGGGGCATGAGAGGATTCATCAGAGACAGAGTGGGGAACAGAACAGGCAGATTGACTGAAATACACTGCTGAGGTGAGCCGCGGGCAAGTCAGGAGAGGTCTGCTGCACCATGTGGGTAGCTCCCTGACTGGGGATCGAACACACATTGCTGTGGCTGTCAAGAGGTCGAGAGCACTGAGATTTAACCCCTGTGCCACCAGGGAGGCCCACAAATTTACTTCTTTAAGTCTGGCATGTTCTAAGTCAGTGATTCAATTAGGAGTTCATATCACTTGTCCACAGAGTTTTAAAAATTATAGCTGTTTAGGATATACTCTAAACTTATATAAGCCCTTTTTTGATATTCTTTATATATTCCTTTATATTCTAACTGTATGCTTTGTGTACTATATGCATGGCATGGCATGGAATGTCAAATTATTTCAATTATATCCGAAGATATTTTTCACTGTGGAGATAATGCTCATCTATTTTTATAAATTAATTTATCTACTCTTTTTTGAAAATACAGTGGAGGTAATTGTTATGTTCATGTTTACTTTGTCTGAAATGCTTTGTGTTGACTTTATTATGTTCTTTTGCATGTCATATAAACTACCCAATTTCTTTATTAATAGCATTGTGTTGCAATAAGCTATCATCATGTCTTTTGCCATTGAAAATCATCAGCAATAAGTTAACAACAACTATATTAAGTCTTTGTCATCTAGTCTGTTGTTTCATTCTTAATGCTTCTCTGAAAGTTCCACAGGACAGAGTTATTTATTTTCAACATAGAAGGACTGCCTCAGAGTTCCATAGAAAGAGCATTTCTAGTGCTTGTGAGCTCTGCTGGAATTGCTTAAATAGCTATGAGACCATACTGTGAACTGAGTCAGGGTTTCCAGTTCCAGTGGAGAAACAGATGGATTCAGGAGATTGCTAAGAGACCCCATACCCAGGATCCCAGGAACTATCAGTGCAAAGGTGAGAGAAATCCAGAGTGGGATGAATTCCAATCAGAATATGGGTTTAAAAACCCAGAATATGAATTTGTTTAATGCATTTAGAACTTGGGCTTGAATATCATCATTTTCAAGACTTTAGGTGCGGAAATAAAATATTCCTTGCACTGTGGAGTAAGGAATTGACCAAAAGAATTCCTCTTCACTCACGCTATGTAAGAATTATTTCATAATTAAATTCTAAAAAAAAATAGAAATCCTGGTTATATTTTATTTCATCTTATAGAAATTCACTTCACGCTGCAATGAGATGTGCATGCATGCCTCACATATCCCTTTTCTTCACCAACATTTCTTCTTCTTCATCCTGGAAAAAAGGATCCACCAACCATCAAAGCTTTCTGAAGAGTGATTTTGCCTTTACCATCTACAACCTCTCTCAAGATTCTCTTGGGTATAAGTGTCCACTGACTCAAGGTGCCTCTGGGTGAAACAGTGGAGCTCAAAGGTGCAGATTCCAAAGATGCTATGTGTGATCTTAGATCAGTCACTTCCCTCACTGGACCTTGAATTTTGGGGCTGGTAGGACTAAAGAGTTTTCATTCTAAATGTTATCAAGAGTCTTCCTGAGAGAACTCTAGCTTAGCATATTACCCTATGAGAGCTCCACTTAGTCTAATTGAATACTTGAATGTTTCAGAGAAGCACAGACAGGATGAAAGTCAATGGTTCCCATGACCAAAAAATAAATAATAATAATAATAATCTGGGGGAAAACAAAGTACTAATTAGTGGGTTCATATATCCCTATGTCAGAAACAAAAGAGAGAGAAAGAGAGAAAAAAGATTTGATCTTCTTTCCTTGCTGTCTTTTCCTTTTATTCAATGGCTTCTTCCCACCCAGTTCTCTCTTAAATACTTTAGACCTATGTCATTCAAGCTCAGATCATCACTCTTTCCTGCCACCTCAGCTTCTTCAGATGATCTCAGGCTCTTTCTTAGAGGTGTTAGAAAAATTCCTCCTGTCCCCCATTGTGCTGCTCACAATGCAGCAGGATTGCATGCTTGTTCAAGAATTAACAGTGGTCAAGTTCAGGCCAATCACTTGGTCAAAACTTCACAGTCCCGTTGAGGATCACACATTGAGAAGCAGTTTGCTAAATAAAATTTATAAGTAAATCTCCAAAGATATTGGATTGTCCCTTAGAAAAATAAGTGAAAGATTAAACAAATAAAATAAAATGAAAGCAATGCCAATAAGGATAGAAACTCAACCCAGGACACTGGCTATGCACACCTGAAACTGTCACTTAATGTCCTTCAGATGTGCCACTGTTTGGACAAGAGTGATCACCATGAGCTAATATTTGTTGAATGCCAGACATTCTTTCAGGAACAATTAAAGAAGGGCAGTGAGGATTCTTGAAAACTGATCAGGTTCTTATAGGTATCTGGTGGTAATAACCATTCACAATACTATTCTCCCCAATAGTTTTGCAAGGTCAGCCAAGGCCAAGTAGAGAGGAAGGTGGTGTTGGTGTTTCAAAGCAACAGATTGAGAATCAGCATTTGGTATCTCTCTCCATGGGCATGTATCCAGTCCTGGCTAACACAGAGACGCAAAGTACTCGGTGTTCCTTAATAAACAACCTTCTTGATCTGAGCAAATAAAAATATATGGGCAGCCCCTACTTGTTCTGAGCAGGCCAATTTCTCAAAGCAACCCCAGTGTGGTGTGGGCAATTAGGGATATTTTGAGAGCTGGTTTTGCCATCACTTCTTTCACTCCATTAATATGAAGAAAATGCCTCTCACCACACCATCAGTTTAAACTGTGGGATCCTGTCTAGTAGCCTAAGCAAAGTTAATGGATGAAGTCCCTGAGGAGTTTTCAGGTGAAGGAAAGCAGAAGGCTGCTATCCAGAGAAAGACAGAGGTGTTAAAGCTGGCTTTTGTTTTGCTTTTACGTTAATGCAACCTAGAGGCGCCTTTTACCATCTAAAGCAAGTTGATGCTGTTTCTTCCTAACTAAGCTGCTTTCCTGCTAAGTCACCCTCTAAGAAACCATCTTTAATCACTTCCCTTCATAATTCTCACCACTTTGGTCCACTTCTTAGAATTGTCCAAAGAAATCTTAGGAATGATTCAAAATCAATACAGTAGGGAAAAAATATTTATTTTCTAAAGTCATTACCTTGATAGGCAAAACAAAGCATTTTCTCAATTTCATTCAGAAATACAGTTAAAAAAATACATAGACCAATATGGCCTGCCAAACATATATTTAACATGGTAAATATAAGGAATAAATTGTCTGAATATAAATATCTATAAAAATATAAGTACATAAAAATTTAATCCAACCTCTTCCATAGCCAGTTACACAAAAAACATAATTTTACTGCTTTAAAGCATAACCAACATTTACTTTTCAGTGTCTTCCAGAAACAACCCTATACCATTGTATTTCCAAAAAGCAGGTAAGGGAATCTCCTGATTCAATGATCTTTTTTTCTTATGGATCAAAGCTAGTAGATTACAATGAAAATGCATTATCAACTACTGACACATGAGACCAGACTTCTCTGAGGCTAGGTTTAGGGAGGAGGTGGCAGAAGGGAGAAGAACTTGGGGAGGCAATAATTAAAGGTGGAAAAATACTTCTGCTGGAGTGCAATATAGGTGAGGTAGACGCATAGTCATGAGACACATCCTGATTTACAGTAGTAAGAGTTTCAATTTTTCATTTTGTGAATTTGAAAACAAAGTCATTTTTTTTTCTACTTGACTGTTTGTCCTTCGAGTATGTTTTCAATTTGTGCATTCCTTAGAAATTCTTTGCAGGGACTTGAGAATTTCTCCCTGAAATGTGCTGGGCGCCTGTCTGAGACACAAACACCCGCTTTGGAACTCTGCTGCATACGGAATCTCCATTCCTCCCTCAGGAGGATACCACCCAAATTTGTAGGTCACAGTGTCTCTCTCTCTGCTCTCTCTGAGTTGTCTGTCATCCCCAATCAGGAGAGACAAAAGCGGTTACAAGCAAATGAAGTCAGGTTGCAGGGGACTCTAACTTTCCTGGAATGTTTAGAGTGAGGACGCTGGTCCTCTGCAGTCTAGAACAAGAAATGGTCTAAGCAGGGAGGACGCTGTTGCTCTGATTGCCGTCAGTGTGGAGAGAGTGCATAGTCAGCCACTCGGTCTCCATGAAGGACGAGGCTGCAGAAGGGCCAGACGTGTCATCAGTGCGTTCTGTTGTGGGCCACTTTCTTCCCTCTGCGCAGCTCGGCTTTCAGCTTTGCAACACGAAAAGATGTTTTGATGTTGTTGCTGATGGCCTCCAACCTATTCAAACAATACAGAGAAAAAAAATATTTTTTTAAAAAAATCATTCCTGGGGAAACATCTAAAATTAGAATTTGGTGCAAACAAATCTAAGTCTGGTTCCTGAACTTTCACCACCAACCACAAAAGGGTGCTGTCCTTTGCTAACCTTGGGTAAAAATGAGAACTGCTTATGTTTTGAATGGGGAAGAGGAGGTAAAAGGGAGTGTGGTCATATTTAAAGAGCATTAAATACAAATTTAAAAACAAACTGTAGATAATCTCTTCTTCTGTAGCTCCTTTCCAGCCCTACCACCAGGGGACTCTACAGAGAAACTCAACTAGAATTCAAATAGTCTCAAGCCCCTTCCTAGTCACATAAGGATGACTTAGTGGGAAAGAATAAAAAGCACTCAGGTAGGCCCAAAGCAAAGGTTCCATGGTAATTTAAGAGGTACATATTTTTGTAGGTTTAATGGTTCTTTGTGCAGGAGACAGAAAAAGAGAAGAACTACATTATTGACTTAATAGTTGATATAATAGAAACTAATAGAAAAACTATTTCCAAATCAGTTCAAAAAAAGTGGTTTATGTAATCTTGGGATCTAAAGGCGCATCTGTGACTTGAGATTGTAAATATGGAAAGTACACACATCCGTAGTAAACACTCAGGCAGTCTGTGACTGCCAGCCCTGTGCTGAGAACACTCTATCACAGAACTTCTTGCCACTGGATTTCTAAGAAAAGTCTCCATAAACCATGATAGCAAAGTGTGAACATGTGACAGATCTGAAAGCAATTTTCCTCCCTTCGGCTTGTGAATTCCAAAAGTTCTGAGGATTGGGAAAGGTCATTGCAGAGCTGCTTCTGGAACCCAAAGGGGTTGCTAATCCAGACCCCGTCTCTCCTCCTGACTGACTAGAAAATGAGAGTGATTTGTGCAACAAGGTTCACTCCCTACAGATGCATTTTCCTACTAAATAAATAAATAAATAAATAATCCCCAAAGACAGCATGTTCTAGCTCTCACCAACCCTACCTAATGACTTTATTTTTCCTTTGGCCATTTGAATAACTGCAACTTTTTGAAGAAGAACGTGATTATATGTGGCAATTTGATTTAAAAAGAAAAATACCTCTCCTTGAGAATTTTTAAGTTCTCAGGGAAAGTGGTAAGTACTTTGCTTCAGAAAGTAAAGGCTAACTATGACCAAATGATAGATTGTTTGGGAAAAAATCTATCTCTAGCCTGAGTGGGGTGTGCTAAAGATTACTTACGTACATAGCGGGCGGGCAGCAGCCCATGCTCAATGCCTTCAAAAGAGAGGGATTCCTTTGCTGGTTTCAGTCTACAGCAGATGATGACTATCTCCTTTGTAATTTTTTTTCTAAGCCTAACTCCCATCAGGGTGAAAAAGGAGGGTGGGGAACTGGAAGTGTAGCGGTGTCATGTTCTTCGGAGCCTCTTACCTTCTTATCTTTCTGCCTTCCACTAGCTTCTGATGAATACACTTTTCCCCAAGCTTGGAACAGTCTTTTCCTTTCCTTTGGCTACTCCAGCCTTTCTCCATAGTGTCCTGGCCCCTGTTAAAAGATACAAAGGAAAAAACATTTCCACAATGGTCCATTGCGTTGCTCTCCAAGTGCCCCTTAATCTAAAGCAAGAAGGCAGCATCATAACAGGAGGAAGGCCAGGAAGCTGTCGAAGTGATTGAGGGCAAAGATGTTTGCTACTCACCTGAGTCCTTTTCCTGCTTGGCAAAAATTCCAGCACTTCTTGTCTTTTTGGCTAGTACATTGGCATCTATTCTTGTGATCTGCTGCCTTTGTTGGAAATAAATCCTTTAAGGATCTCTTGGACCTCGAAGGGCTTCCAAGTCCATATGGAACAATGTGCCTGTTATCAAAAGAGAACAAAATATATTAACATAATTAATAGCCCTTCAAAATGAGGCATTATTTGAGGCAAACTCATTCTGTTGGGACCCAAAAGCTGACCACACTTTGCGTCTCGGGAGAGTGAAGTGAGGCACAGTCGGAAACCCCTGCAGTCCATGACCCGGAGTCAGTGTACCCAACAAGGGGAAAACCCGTTTCTCCAATTCAATGAAATCCCATTTCCTAACACAGTTCAGCATTATCGTCTCTGCACATGCAGCATTACCTTTTGCTCAAAATTATGACATCTCTGCTTTGGTTTCTGCTTCATATTTTCTTCATTGTCTAACATTCAATTTAGTTACGAGTTATTGGAGGTGGAGGGGAGGGACTTCAGTGCAAAACCATGAATCAAAAGATTTTGAAAACCGAGTTTCAATTCAAGTGATAGAACAGTAAATGTGCTTCCTGGAGGGGGCGGCAGGAGGAGACCACCTGCTGCTACCACAAAGTTCTCGCCTGCTTCTCATCCCCTGCAGCTGGCTGATGCCCACCTGTAGAAGCAGCCTTGCCAGCAGGCTCTCTAGTCAGTTCCGAAATGAAACAAAGTAAAATCTCCCCCTGCATGTATCACCTTAAATTATTAGTCTTTTGCGAGGGTTGTGTGATCTGATTTGATTTTGTGCAGATTTCCAACCTCCCTTGCCATAATGGGCTATTGCAGGCACCCTAACTGTGGTCTTATTTATGGCTAGTTCTGCTGAATGGGCTAGTTTTTGTTGGGGGAGGAAGGGTACTGAAGGTAGAAGAGAAATCTAGGGATGGTCTTTCTATTTCTGTCTTGAAATGGGAGTTTCTAAAGAGAAAGTATACCCCGGTTCTAGATCTAATTCTGCCACAAATTCATTTCTGGTCAAGCAACTTCAACAATTGGGTCTTAGCTTTTCTATAGGTAAAATGAAGGGCTTGGATTACAACTCTCTATAATCCCTCCTGCCTCTTAAATCTCTGCCACCCCCACAACCCAGACCCCACACTTAGAGTTCCTCAGCAGGCATGGGAATGTGGGGGTGGTTCTCCACCAGCTTTCAGCTCCATCCTACCGGTTAAGGAGTAGTCTGAGTCGCCAGCTGTAGACGGCCCTCCCCTCTGTTGCTAAAAACCAAGCGGTCCAAGTCATTTTCAGGAACAGCGGAGCGCTGGCCCCACCCATGGGGGCACTATCTGAACCGCTACTTCAGAATCCAAAGCCTGACCTCTCCTCCAAAGTCACTTGAGTCACGAGCTGCAGACCGGGGAACTGGAAACAAGGAAAGACTAGAGTTACGATGCCCTCTAGAGACTCACTCGGGAGTGTTGACCCAGATGATGTCGAGGTGGCAGAAGTAAACACACTCCTTATCCATCAAAGAAGAGCAGGAGCAGCGCTTGGTCCGGCGGGGCCTCCAGGGTGCACTGGGAGGGGGCTGCTCCCCTCCACGACCGTCCCCGGTGCTGAGCTCGGCGCCCAAGACCGCTGAGGAGAGAAAGAAAGCGCAGGTCAGGGGGACCGTCTCGCTGAGATCCCAGAGCACCCTGCATCATTAGAGCACTGAGGCCAGGTCTAGCAGAGCAACTGAGGCCAGGTCTAAAAGGCAGCTGAAGCAGAGGCAGGGAGGAAAAGGACTCTTTACTTCCCTCAACATGAGTTCACCTTTACCCCCTGTGAAATATCCGCCCTCAGAGATTACACATGTGCAGTGGAGACAGGTACTGAAAAGTGACTTACCAGCCCCTTCAAGGAAAGCTGCCTATGAGAACTTGGGACTGGCTTCTACAGGGAACTTAGTAGGAGAGCACAATGGACAATGGTTTAAATTTGGCTAACACCAAAAATCTAAAAGAAAATACATCACACCCGCCTCTTCCTAGGTTGGAAGTGACACCCATCAGAATGACCTTCCTTTATTTTAGGGGGTACCCACCACACTTGATACCTGGTGTAGGGAAGGTAATAGGTACCTCTTGAAATTAAATGGAAGTCAAGAGCTTTGGGGAGATGATTGAAAAAAAGTAGTCTCCTGATTTCCAAGCAGTTCAACGCCAAAACTAGTCATTTCAGGCAGTAAACGCCACAGAAACCACTGACGAGCAGCAGCTCAGGGGACCCAGTCACGATTCTGTGGGCGTGGATTCTGATTCTCCAGGCAGCGTGGGGTAGGCAGGATTCGCCCCAGCTCCGTCCCACTGCAGGGCAACCCCTTCTTACTGCCAAGTGAGGCATGCCACTTATCTGGCCAACTTTGTACATTTCAAATAATTGGACACATTCCAGGGTTTTCATTCCCTTGACATCCTTTCTCTTCAGTCAGGGTCACCAAAAGACAAAAAAGGTGCATTGACCCTAAAGGGGGAAGCGGTAGAGGCACACAAACTCTCTAAATCCTTAAGCAGCCAAGATTTATCCTAGCTCCCCTCCCAGGACAGGTGAATAAAACTGAAAATACAGCTCACACTGTTCTAGGTGCCAAAAACCTGCCAAAAGAAACCTAAAGTTAATAATGACAAATTTTAAAGAAAACATCTGCTTCACCCTGAAACCGCCTGGGGGGCTTAGTCAACAGGCAGTTTTGCAGGTGATTTTGCTGCTCATACTCTGCTTGAATGATTTGAATAAAATTCTTTGGCTTCAAGCTGAGATGTTCAAGTATTTTACATGCTAACATACTATTTAAGCACTATTTGAATAAGATATAAGTTCCTATAAGTCCTACACCTGTATGTGCACACATACACATGTGGCTAAATTATATCTTGTCTTTATTTCTCTTGAGTTACATTTTTAAATCCCGAGAAAATATACTATGTAATAATCAAAATGTTATTTTAATGCTTTAGGAGCAATTATATTCATAGAGAAATTTTTATTCCCACTAGAAAACCCAAATAACTTTAATCAATAATCCCCCGACACCTAGAATCTGAGCTGCAGTGCTAAAAAAAAAAAAAAAAAAAAAAAAAGGAGGAGAAGCAGAAGCAAGAAAAGTGTAAGTGGATAAGATAACATTAACATTCAGAAAGTCAGCGTGCCTACCTGTTTCTGGAGCTCCTTGGAAAGCCACGAACAGCAGAGAGAAAATCACCGGGATACAATCCATGCTGAAAAGGGGATCAAAATCCTCCTCTGCAAAGAAAGAATGAAGAAAAACAGCGTCCGTTCTCTCACAGCGCTCGGCTATGCGGATTTCAAAGTGATCCTTCAGCCTCAGTGCCCTTTACTGGGGAGAAAAAGTGGGTTTCTGCCGGGCGAGAAGGCAGCGGCGGAGTCCGCGAGCGGCGCGCGGCGGGGGCGTCTGGAGCGCAGCGGAGCCCGGGCGCCCTGGCTCTCCCGGTCCCAGCGCAGATGCAGAGGCGCGTCTGACTTGGACAGCTCTCCGCAGCCTTTTTATATTGAACCCCTATAGAGTGGGGGTAAACAGCTCCGACTTTATTCCAGCCCCAGACAATGTTATTGTGTTATTAGTCACCAACAGGCAACGTGCAGGCCGAGATAAGGCAGGGCTCTAGAGGAAATCACTGCAACTTCAGAGGCAGACGCCCGCCGTCTGACAATTCAGGGGCAGGGCTAAGAAAAAGAAAATACCCATTAGAGACCTTTGGTAAACCTGCCCGTGCAGTGTTTGAGTCTACTTCCCCTTTGCAAGCTGCCAGTCCCAGAGTTCAAGAATCAGAAGAGGGACTCCAGAGAAGTCATGCCATTGGTATGAAAAGTATGAGCAACAGTTTAAATAGATTGTATTGTGTGCGGGGAATTTTTTTTTTAATTGTCGTTCACTTCATTTTCCTTTTATGTCTCTCGGATTCCTCAGTGTTGATCAAACAAGGGGACGCTCTTCTTCACTCCCGGCCCCCAGTTGGGGTCCAATGATTCTGGCAGCGCAAGCCCCTTCCCCAAAGTCATTTTTTGCTAAAGTCTTTAGGTCCACACTGCAAAGATCGATGAGGGGTTGGCAAGGAAAGAAAGCTTCAAAAAAGAAAGTAAAGACACCCCCCAATTCTTCAGTACTATGGATTTAAAGACCCCATAAGCTTCCCCCGCCCCCCGTCAGCCCACACGCGTTATCTCCCCGTCCCCGTACAACCCCCCTTTCAAGAGCGCCGATTTTAAGAACTACTAGGAGCGACCGCCAGGGGGGACTAGAGAGCCGCCAGGGCTGGTGGTGATTAAACAGCAGAGACCCGCAGCCCACGGTGAAGGCTCAGCGAGCACCAGGAACCGGGTCTACAGTCAGACAGTGAGCGCCCCCGAATATTCCGTGTACTGCCTCTATGGGGACGTCGTCTCGGGGCCTTTTCCAGCTTGAGCTTCTTTATTTAAGGTAACGCGTGCTCCTGTACAGGTGAACAGGCAGTGAGGGTGGTGGTGGGAGGAGGAAATGCCCGCGCTGAATAAAGGGATCAGATAAACCTATTTAATAATGTGTTTACATTTTCAAAGCAATTTCCTGTCTATTTAACCTTGAAATACCCTTTGAGGTCCTCACAGGGCAGATACTGTGGAGGTGACGGCGTGTTGTAACGTGTAAGAGAAAAGATGACTGCAAGACTTTTCAATTTGTCTCGTTTTTCAGGTGAGAAACTGAGGCACCCACGTTCCCTCATTCTACCAAGCTCTCACAGTGGCTGAGACCTGTGCAATAAAAAGATGAGTCTACAGTTAGCAACCGGGGATGCCCCAATAGATGCATCCTCTATGTCCTCATCTTGTTTCACACCGCTCTTTCCCCTTCACCTCTATCATCAAAAGGATAGATTCCCCCCCACCCCCAATGGCAATGGACCTAGGCACACTTGGCCCCCCTGGACACCCCTGGGAGTGACAGTGGAGAGACAGCCACAGCAGCAGTGTCAGACCTTTAATGAGATAGTCCCCTAAAAAAGCCGTGGCAGTGAGAGCTAGAGTTGGGGGAGAGGCAGGAACTCTCCCTCCCAGACTCACACCCAGAGGCCTCCACCCTAACACCAGGCCTTCTGCCCCTGCCCTATGCTTACCTCAGCCCACCCCTGGGGCTCAGGGATAGCATAGCTCCCCACAGGGCTGGCTGGCACCAAGCAGGAAACCAGCTCTGCCCACCTCAGCCCTGACCAGTGCCTCCTGACCTCCCCACAGCAGACCACAGGGAGAGCAGGGGAGAGCTGATGTCACCCCCCAAGCTTTCCCTAGCCAGGGAAAGGTGGCCAGGGAAATGTGTCTTGGCAAGGACCCCTCTCCCCACCCTTCTGAAAAATCCTCCTGGCAATTTTGACAAAACACTGGCCACAGTCAGGACCAACCTGTCCTAAGCTCCTCCCAGGAAATGCCTGCCCCCGCCCTTCCCCACGGCCTTCCTCCGCTCCTGTCTGTGTCATCCTGCCTGTGCTCCTGTCTGTGTCATCCTGTGAATGCATTTGAATTATAAATACAAAATGTAGGCAGCTATGCCCCCACCTCTGACCCCAGGCCTTCTAGGCCTCCGTTAAAATAAACAATAAACGCAAAGGGTTTCAGACTTGGGAGGGGCCCATTGTTCCAAGTACAATCTTGCCCCCCATCTCCTTGAGCGCTGAGTTTCCAAGAGGCCCGTGGCGATGTGTGTATATGTCCATTTCTCTTTCTTTGTATGTCTTGGGGAGCTGGTGGCACAGGCCTTCTCTGTCCACCTCTACCTCTCACAGTTGCCCCTTTTCCTCCCGTAGGAGCAAGGGAAAGCACCCTGCAAGTGTCTAGAAGGCAGTTCTAGAACTGCCAGGCAGCTGCCCAGCAAGACTTATTCCCAAGAATTAAGAGGGGGGAGGAAGAAGGAACCCTAACAAACCAGTTTTACAAGCTGCATGCAGGTCTCCTCCACTAGCAGCATTGCTAGTGAGGGAGGAAAGCATGGAGGGCTAAAGAACTGGAGAAAGTAATCAACTTGGAGATTCCAACTCCCTCCACAGCTCCCCTCACCCCTACAAGATTGAGAAGGGAAAGGTTCTTTGAGCTACAGTCTCCCTCAGAGAAGAAAGGAAGGGACTGGAGGAAAGAAGTTAAAAAAAAAATTGTCTCCCCTCCCCACAACAGAACTATTTGTTGTTGCTGTTCTTGCTTTTGATGTTTCACTTGAATACTGGCAACTATTCGATAAAGCTACTTTTTATGTTTTTCTTTCTGTATCTCTTGCACGTATTAATAGATATCTATAAATAAAACACCCTGAGCCCCAAATTCAGATACTACACAGTAGCAAAGTGTACTGTTTTTAGCACCCTTCAGCTTTGCTCTTTCTCAACTTTTGCGTAATACAATTTGCAACTTTGCCAAGCCAATAAATCTGGTGTGAGATGTTGCATTTAGCTCAGCAAAAAAAAAAAAAAAAAAAAAAAAAAAGAACAGCAGGCCGTTAGCTCAGGTGGCTTGACAAGGGCACAAGGAAGGGGCAACTAGTTTACTGTGGGTTGGGGGAACTCTCCATGTCTCTGGACCTGGCTCAGTCACATACTGTTGACAGTTGTATGTTTGTGCTTTGCATAGTGCTGTTGTGAAAGGTTGTGCATTACACATAGCACTCCCTGACACATCACACACCTCCAGGAGTGGTGAACAAACATAGCTTCTCCAGCACTTCAGATGGTAAGGGTTGATTTCTCACAGGAAATAGGATGAGGCACATGATGCATTCATCCCGTGCATTTTAAATACATAACATAAGCAACACCATTCCTTGACACTTTCATTCCTGAGACAATAACAAATAACAAATGCTTAGCACAAAAGAATATGTCTACTTCTTTCACCTAGCATTTCCCAAACCCCAATCACTTATAAGTCTCTTTCAGGATTTATGCCTTTCGTGGGCTGCCCATACACCACTGCTGGATATTTTCCATTCCCCTGACTTGTTCTTTACTTGAATAATTGTAAGGAAGCTTTCACCCACTACTATCCTAGGCAATAATGCACATGAAATCATGGTTTGTATGGATAAATGATATACGTATTTATATGGTTAGATAATGTACATGAATCATAGTTTAGTACATGCTAAAATAAATATAATTATTATGTGTTCATTAAGCTATTAGCTATAAAAAATGTCTGGCTATCACCTTCTATACCAACACCAGCATCTGTGGGGAGTGCTGCTCCTGCCTCTGCAAGAGCTTGTACCTTATTATGTTAAGAACTTATAATAAAGTAAAAGTCAAAATCAACAGGCAACTAAAACACACTACAGGGGGGAGAAGGGAGTAGGATCAAAACAAGGGTGGTGGGAATTTTACGGGGACTATAACCAAAATGAAAATGCATACATAGTACAAAAATGAAAAATAATGTAGAAAATTTTAAAAATTTTAAAAAATTTCATAAAGCATTGGAAAAAAAAAAAAAGAACAAAGTCCTGGGTTAATTCTCTCTCACATCTCTATTTTCCACATAGTCCACATCAACTTTCAAAGAGATGCCCCTCAAAGAAAAAGAAATTCTGGCATCCAAAATCTAGAAAAATAAGGAATTTCCATGCAAAAAATTAGCCCTACATGATACTTGCCCTTTTTCTTTTTTAATCTCATCAATGTTATCTTTCTTTCTAGCCCTCCATCCCAAATTTAAATTTCCTCTGTGTTTTCCCTGATATGCACACACACTGGAACCCGAAAGTTGAGTAATATTTCTCACATCAGAGAGACCCAAACAATGTGACAGCCAGTGGCTGCTTCCCCATCTTTCTCCTTTTAATTTTACTGCATTCATGTCATGTGGAACTAAAGGGATTCTGATGCAGGGGTGAACGCCCGCTTGCGGGTGAGTGGAGGAGAATCAAGTCACTCCATTAAACGTAATTGATGTAGTGATTCCAAATGAGCTTTCCTTCCACGTGCTTGAATGGGATGATAAGGAACTAATTCTAAGGGCAGGTGTAAATATGGGGCCACCTGCATGTTTTCTTAAGCAAACTGCACCTGTGTGGCATTCAGGGAGCTGGCAGGTCAAGCCCACTGCTGCCAGGATGCCTTTCATGATTGCATTTCATTTGGTTTGTGCATTTGGGTTTTTGAAGAGTTTCTTGTGGAATGATGATTGCTAGGTGAAATGTTGGTCAAAGGGTACAAACTTTAGTTATATGATGAGTAAGTTCTAGGACATCACTTACAGCATGGTCACTTTAGTTAGGATGCTAACTAAAGTATTATCTTATCAAGTGTTATATACTTGAAAGTTGCTAAAAGAATGGATCATATATATCCTCCCCACAAAAACAAAAATGTTAATTACATGATGTGGTAGAAATGTGAGCTAAAGCTATAGTGATAAATATTTTAGTGATAAATATAAAGCTATAGTGATAAATATGTGTATCAAATTATATTGATACCTCAAATACATTATATGTCAATTAAATCTCAATAAAGTTGAAAAAATTCTTTCACAT